GGAGCCGACGGAGAGAATGCTCGGCGAGATACGAGAGAGCATTATCTCGCCGCGCCGGCACTCGGACATCCCGTGCGCGCGTTATCTGCCGACTTCTACATATACCATCCTTACTTCCTTCGTCCGTCCGAGCGCGACGATGATAAGTCGCGGAATAGCGTGCGAGACTTCCTCTGCAGCGTTCCTCCGCTCGGTTGAGAACGACGAAGCGTGTTCGGCTTCCGTGAGTCTCTCTGTCTCCCTCTCTCCTCTCTCTCTCTCTCTCTCTCTCTCTCTCTCTCTCTCTCTCTCGCATTGCCAGTCAGGATTCCCCTGAAGTATCAACACAACTACCGCATCAAGCGAGTAATCTGCCACCTATCGGAGTCACATTTCATCATAAACCTCTCACGTTCGTCCACGCTCCTCGAACAATCTCGAGTACCGGGGAAGAGTTGCGAGAGCGGGCGCGTTGGCGCACCAAGTGCGCCTGCGTCCCTACATCGCGAGATCGCCCGCGTGCAATTAATTCCACGGGACGAATTTCTTGGGGGAGGGATTGCGAGAGACGAGCGTGTGTGATCGTGCATACATTCAACGAGAAGCTCGCGACGCGTTGACGCGCGTCAGCGGAATAAGCAAAATTCACGAAGCACGTGGAGGACGCGCGAAGCGACACCTGGCGTCCGAAAGGTGGCGCGATCGAGCGCTTCCTCGTCCGCCGTTCCGCGCGCTGTAATCAGTTGATGCTCGCGCGTCGCTGAGAGCGTGTCGTTTTTTACGCCGGCTGCCGTTACGTTAAGGCGTGATTACAATTGTAAGCTTGAACCGCAGCAGCCACGGGCTCGTCTTATCGTCGTCGTCGTTGTCGTACGTTACGTTGCCTGTGATCGCTAAAATCGTGCTCCTGTAATGCAAACGGTATGCATCAGCCCGTCGGCGACGAACGGCGGCAGCGACGAGTGATCGTCGTTGTGCGTGCACGCTTGTGAGAAATAATTCCGACGCGCGTGGTATTGCGTGTGTGTGTGTGTGTGTGTGTGCGTGCGTGTGCGTGTACATACGTCTGTCTCAGACGCGTGAGTACCGCGTAACGTGGATATCCCATAGTCTCGTTGCTCTCGTCCGGCTGTGATGTGCGCTTGCGACGGCGCTCGTGAAGTGCGCGAAGTGCGGTAGTAGAGAAGTTGCGGAGGAGGAAGGCGTCGCGCGAGGTTTACATCGGACAGGATGTATTCCACCGCCGCCAGTATCAACGCAGCGGCAGCCGGTATCAACGCGGCGGCTGCCGCCGCGGCCGTGGCAGCTGCGGCACGGCACCCGGTACGTCGGATCATTGTTGTCCCGAACGAGCGAGTCATCGTCGGCGGAGCGACGGCCGTGGGGCCGAGGAGTCGACGGCTGCCGAAAGAGTGTGTCGAATGAGCCTCGCTCTCTCGTGGTCACGAACGTTCCCCCGCGGCCGGCCGCGTTCCCGACGGATGATGACACGTCACCGCGTTTAGGCTCTCCTCTCCGTGCGAGCACGCGAGTCAACCCGCTCGCAAATCAATGATCCAACCGATCGAACGCTCGTCGAGCAATTTCTCTCTCTCCCTGCCCCGGCGCGAGTCGTACGGACGAAATCGTATGCCCGTTTCTTTCCCACGGCTTGTGTCGCTCTCGCACGTGTGGTCGAGTGTGTATGTGTCTCTCTCTCTCTCTCTCTCACGCGCGCGCGTTGCAATTGTCACACGCGCGCGAATGGAACGGGAAATGAAGTCGCCCGTATGCGCGCGATCGGGGAGCGGCGAAATCGCCCGTATACGCGCGGATGCCGTAACTTGCGCGAGGAAACGATCCGGTGCGGGCAAAAATCGCCGCCGACCGGATTCCGCGTCTCGAGACGCCGATAATCGCCGCTCGATCGTCGCGCGCGCGCGCGGGCTGAATCGCCGGGATTTTTAAACGCGCTCTCATGTCTCTCTTTCACTCCCTTTCTCTCTCGCTTTCCTTCTATCTCTGTGCGACCGTTGCCGTCGGCTCCACGAGTATCATCCGGCGATATGACTATCCGTCGTGCCGTTACAGCGCGACGGGCTATATAAACACGCACACTCGTGCCTACGAATCACATTACATTTTTCCTGCTCTGTCAACGTCGTCGCTTCGCCCGTGGTAACGAGATAATTCAAAAGCAGAGAGAGAGAGAGAGAGAGAGATATGATGGCTAGAAAGAGCGAGCGTAGCGTTTTCCCGAGGTGCCTGCCGACGGCACGCCGCGCGCAGCTTAGACTAATAAATCCCTTCCGGCAATTATTTATTTTTCCACCGATTCCCCCGCACTAATGCCCGATACTAGTTGTGCACCCTCCTCCTCGTCACGCACGCACGCACTCACGCGCACACGCACCCACGCACTCACAGGTTCCACGCGCGCTAAATATCTGGGCGCACCCGTGTATAAATACGCGCCGGATGAAATTGACCCACGTTACGCGGGAGGAAGAGGGCGTAGGTGGCGAACGGGGGGAAGAAGAGGAAGAGGGGAAGGAGGAGGAGGGGGAGGAGGAGCAGGATGATGAGGTGGAGGTGGTGGAGATGACGAGTAGTGGTGGTGGTGGTGGTGGTGGTGGACGAAACGCGAGCGGAGAGAGCCGAGCGGCGACGGAAAAATATTTGGCTACCGAGCAAATTTTCATTCGACTGTAAACACCCGGCGAGCCGAAGCGGAAAAGCTCGTATGAACGACGAAAATAAATCTATATACCGCGGAGAGCGCCGCGCCGTGTCGCGTCGCGTCGCGCCGCGCCCGTCCGCTCTCGCTCGCTATCCGCAATTACGTTATATCTGTAGCTGCCATCGCGCGCACCGCCGATTACCTGCGCTCATGCCCGGAAAAGCGGGCAGAAAAAAAGCTAAACGGAAAAGCGGAAAAATAGATGCGGCGGTAGAGAGATAGAGAGAGAAAGGGGGGGGGGAAGGGGCGAGTGAAGAGGAAACAGAGCCACGTCGTTAAAAAATGAATTCGCCGTCGCCGCCGCCGTCGTCGTCGTCGTCGCGACGCCAACCAGAGACCGACTTTGGAAGACTTCCAAAAGCGTGCGGATTCTCTCTCCGCAACAAAATTTCCCCCGGCTCTGAAATTTCGCCCGGCGATCCGTGTCGATCCGCTCGCGCTCGCGTTCCCGCCTGTTTCGAAAAGCAACGTGTTAGCGGTCAAGTGAGCCTAGCTTTATCGGCGGGTGCGGGAAACGCGGGGGATTACCCGAGCGATCGACTCGGATTCGCCGAGCGCTCGAATTATCCGCACGTGTTACAAGCGTAAAAAAAAAGGGGAGACCAAAAAAAGAGGAGAACGATATAACACGGAGAAAACACACGTAGGTCATAATCGGACACTCCCTTCTCGGCGGAGCCCGTCGTGCGACTTACGTCTCGTGTCTACTTTATTTCTATCTGCATGTTCTCTCCTAATACTTTTTTTTTTTTTTTTTTTTACGCTAATACTTTTGCACAAGCGTGCGGCGATAATGTCATTAGTGTTCCGTCGCCGCTGCCGACGACGACGACGATAACACGGATCGATCTCTCTCTCTCTTTCTCTCTCTCTCTCTCTCTCTCTCTCTCTCTCTCTCTCTCTCTCTCTCTCTCTCTCTCGTTGTAATTATTTCCGGGCGCGACGGAAAGGAAGAGACGAGGACAAAATTGAAATCGAAACGAGGGATAGAGACGGGGGAAAGGGTTGGCAAGGACAAGAGAGGGAGAGAGAGAGAGAAGAGGGAAAGGGAGATGGAGAGGGAGGGAGGGAGGGAGGGAGGGAGAGAGAGAGAGAGAGAGAGAAAGAAAGAGAGAGACGGAACGGTATCTCGCGCAGGCATGAAATTTGCGGACCGCGGGTTTGCTCGCTCGCTCGCTCGCGCACGCTTCCGCAGAACCGCAATATGCATTGGTAATTACACCGCGATGAATTACACCGCGGAATGAGCGAAGCGTGTTACGTGCAATTGGCGCGAGCATTATAAATCTCGTCACGTGCAAACAGTTGGCCACCTCGTCTCTCTCGCTCTCTCTCTCTCTCTCTCCCCCTTCTTCCTCTCTCTTCCCCTCTTCCTCTCTCTCTCTCTCTCTCTCTCTCTCTCTCTCTCTCTCTCTCTCTCTCTCTCCTTATCCATTGATAGAAACACCAGCAGCAGCATCAGCGCACCAGCCGGCGGCCTCCCGACGGAATCTCAGCCGACTGTGTGAGAAGAAACTTCCGCGAACGAGGGCGCGCGTCATGCTTTTAATGACGCCGCCGCCGTCCGATTTCGATCTATTATTACACGCGACCACAGACACTCGCGCACATGGGCACACGTGTATATGCGCGCGCACGTTATTCGCGACTCAATTTTCGTACACGTCAGACACTCGGCGTGTAGTAGCGCGCGGGGACCTGATTAAATTTCGACGGTGAGAAAGAATGGTTTCGATTCCCGATGGAGTAATCGCCGTCGCGTAATCTCCACCGCTGGCCACCGCTACCGCCGGTCGATATTGAGTCACGTACTAGCGCGACAGTAACGAATTTACTAATTATTATCGCGGCGATAATGCGCTCGATCGCGGTCAATAGAGAGAACGCTTGGCTGGCCAGAGGCCGCAGCGTGCCTTGGATTAATTCGCCGCGCTACGTGCCGTGAATCGCGAAAGAAGGAAGGCAACGACTGCGCGCACGTATCGTTAACGAACAGCTTCATATCCGACTTACTTCACTCGCGTAGTCGACGACGACGACGACGACGACGACGACGACGACGACGACGACGACGACGACGACGACGACATCGACATCGACGCTCCGGTGCTTGACCGAGTTGACACAGGCGGTGGTTATTGGCACTCTGCAGGGCCGCCAGGGCTGTTGACGTACAAGCTGTACAAATATTATTTCCGGGCAAACCGGCCCGTCGATCATTACGAAACCCCAGGCGGAAAGTTTCAACGGTTACTCCTCCCCGTACCCTCCGCCCCCTCGCACAAACACACACGTGGAACCC